TGCGGCGGCGTGCGGCGGCGGCGGCTAATAATGCTGTACTGATGTCTCGTTGTCGTTGTTGCTATTGTTGTTGTTGCCATTTTGATCGCCGCTCAGGAGTTTAGCAACATCATCATTGCGGCTGCGCGCCTCAAGTACTCGAGCGACCCGCTGTTCATCAACCACCTGCTGACCCACATGGTTCGGCACCCGGGGCCCTTCAAGCCGCAAGTGGGTCGTGGGGGGATGGGGGGGGGAGTAGGGGGTGGGGAGTGGGGGGGGGAGTGGGGGGGGGAGTGGGGGGGGGTAATGGTAATGGTGACGGGAGGAAAGGGCCCGTTGGGGGATGGTGATAGAAGCCTGATAAATAACGCATTAGTACGGCATTCCACCGTACGGCATCCACCGCTGGTGTCCAGGGCGGGGAAAGCATGAAGCACCATGGGCATGATTGATGTGTGTTGTCGACTGCGCAGCATCAGTTTAAAATATTGTTAGGACCCGTTGGATCCCGGTTCGCAGTTCCCCTTCTTAAGAGGATTCATTACTCAACCTGAACCAGAAAAATTCATTAAGTCTCAAATTAAAAGCGAAGTAGTAGGAAAAAGAATAAATACTGAAAAAAGGTTTAGTTCCCTTCCTTCATTATTGTTGCTTGCGGGGTTGTTTACTTCTGCTTCAACTCCCCGCACCGAAATAAGCCAGATCTGGAATATAGGCGTACGTATACATAAAATCTATATACGTAATGATATGTCATGGTTGGATAGATGGATGTTGCAATGTTGGTGCTTTTGCTGTCCACACACTTTCACGCCAACACCAACCCACAGGCCATCTCCAATACGATTTATGGCCTGGGCGAGCTGTACGGCAGTAGTGAACAGGCTTGCAGTACAGCGGCAATGGAGGCCGATCCCGATGATGATGACGATGACGACAGCGGCGGCGGCGGCGGCAGCCGCGGTGCTGGTTCCGAGAAGGTGCTGCTGGCGGAAGGGGCTGCACAGGGGCTGCAAAGCTTCAGCAACAGCAACAGCGGCGGCGGCGGCGGCGACGGCCAAACGTCTGCCGAAGGGCCGCCGCCGCCATCTTCTTCCTCGCCATCGTCCACGACTTTGACAGGGTTGCCTGTGGCCCTGGCGGGCCATGTACGTGACCTTCTGGCGTTGGCTCTGAATCTCGGCTTGCACTTCTTCAGCCCCCAGGCAAGCCACCGATGTGGGGCCCCGCAACTTTCAGGGCGGTGAAGGAGAGGAGGTTTGGGAGGGGCGCGTCAGCCCCCGGTGGATGTGTTATTATGGCATTGCGGATGACTCTAAATAATGCTAAATATGCTAAATAATAATGCTAAATAATAATGCTAAATAATAATGCTAAATAGTAATGCTAAATAGTAATGCTAAATAATAATGCTAAATAATAATGCTAAATAATAATGCTAAATAATAATCCTAAATAATAATCCTAAATAATAATCCTAAATAATAATCCTAAATAATAATCCTAAATAATAATCCTAAATAATAATCCTAAATAATAATCCTAAATAATGCTAAATAATGCTAAATAATGCTAAATAATGCTAAATGATGCTAAATGATGCTGAATGTGCTAAATATAGCTAAATAATAATGCTAAATAATGCTATAGTCACGGTGATGGTGCTTCTGTCTCCTAGTATGATTAACCGCGTTGTAATCGTGCCGGTGCTGGTGGTGGTGGTGGTGTGTGATCTTACAGGAGTTGTCCAACACGATTTACGGTCTAGCGCGGTTGGGATTGCGCATACCGGTCCATCACGACATTGTCGTCATCCCGGACGGCGCCGCTGCCGGCGCCATCACCACTGCCGCCGCCGCGGCGCTAGACGCTTCGGGAACGCGAGCGGCCGCGGCAGCGGAAGCAGGGCCGCCGCCGCCGCCGCCGCCGCCGCCGCCACCACCTCAGCAGCGCACACAGACTGAGACGCAGCGGGCGGATCACCCCCAACGCGGCCGCGGCGAGCCGGATTTCCCCGAGGACCCTGACGAGGCGGCCCGGGTGTTCATCATTCGAACGCAGGAGCACGTGAAGTCTCGTTTCCTGGTGCGTTCCTTCCGTACTGTGCTGTGTTTGAGGAGGGAGGGAGGAGGGGTGAAGAGGAGGGGTGAAGAGGAGGGGTGAAGAGGAGGGGTGAGGGAGGAGGGGTGAAGAGGAGGGGTGAAGAGGAGGGGTGAAGAGGAGGGGTGAAGAGGAGGGGTGAGGAGGAGGGGGGCCTGTAATAACGCAAGAGTGCAAGAGAGGGGCGACAGACGGGTTGAGTAGGTTGGGGTGAGGTCTAGGCGGCATGACCATCGTACAGCGGCCTTGCTGCACCTGCTCAAAGCCACGTGCACATGAGCAACACAAATGGTATGCAATGCCAGTGCAGGGCTCTAGACCCTAATTGTTTTCTAATTTGGTCCATGGGACAGGATAAAACCCACGGGACAGGATTTAAACCACCACCACCACCACCACCACGGACCACCACGGGATTCGAACCTTAGATCTTCCGCTCGTCCGCCTCAAAGACCCTTTAATGGTTTTCTCAAACACCCTCCTCCCTCCCTCCCTCCCTCCCTTTCTTTTGCTGCGTGTTTCGTTCCTTTCCGCCACCTCCATCCCGCCTCCGCCTCCGCCTCGATCGCCACGTCTGTCACCACTCCACCTCCATCACCGCTATATGTCCTCTTCCCCTGTCCGCGGCCTCCCCTACCTCCCCTACCTCCCTGCAGCTCCCGCGGCAGCAGCAGTTTCCGCTGCCCTTCGACCCGCAGTCCATGTGCAACATTACTTGGGCCCTATCGCTTATTGGCCAAGCTGACCAATCAGTCTTCACGGCGGCCGTACATGCTGCATTGTACGGCGGCTGCATGGACAACGCCAATCCGCAGGTGGGTTGTTTGACCGGAGTATTATACGGGCGTTATACGGGCATGGGCGCCATTGTTGTTATTGTTGTTGTTGATGGGGTGTTACACTGTGGGCGGCTCGCCCGAAAAAGGACGAGCACCGGGGGCCCTGACCGGGCCGAAACACAGCGCAGGGATGGGCGCGCGGCTCTACGTCCGTCTGTTCCTCCGCGCGCGCCTCGATCCCTCACTCACGCCAACCGGGACGCTCTCCCAGCCCCTGGCTAGGCAACACAGCGGCGCAGAAGACTGCAAACCGATCTATGCAAGAACCGCACGAAAGGCGCCACTTCGCCTGGCCTGCCTATTCACGCGCTCTCGTCTCTCTTGACCGCCAAAACAAGAACAAAAAGAAAACACCACCGGGGGCAGGGGCTCTACTCAGGGGGCTCCTCTACACGCTCAACAAAAACCAGGGCCCCACGCAGCCAGCAAGGCAAGAGATACACGGAGGACCACGGGCCTGAGACGACACACCACAAAAGCTGAGATACGGATGCACAGAGAAGACCAACACAAAGCGAGTACTCGCACACTGGTCCTCGAAGGCCAGCTGTTCAACTACCACGAGCAACGAACAACGAACACTTCCCGAGGGTGGCCACCACTACCTCGCCGGTCCACTCACAAACGTGTTGTTATTGTTATTGTTATTGTTATTGTTATTGTTACAGGGTGGTTAAGCTTCACCAGTGGCCTCCTTCCCTGGGCAGTCCCTGCTCTCCCCTGCTAGAGGGGCACCCTAATCCATTCACCCCATCCGACTTCAGAATGTATTCGTTGGGTTCGGCAACTCACCACCAGCATCCAACTAAATCTAGCGGATCAACGGCGCCTCAACTTAGTTCCTGGTCAGCTCGCAAGTGTTGTTGTTACAGAGTGGGAGGCTACTGGGTCAATTTGCATACACATTTGGATTATCAGTAAAGCACCATCCACCATTACCACACTGCACTACGCCATACCCGAAGTCACCATACCCGAAGTCACCATACCCGAAGTCACCATACCCGAGCTGCAAGTCCCAGGTGTGCGAATCTCGGTCCACCAACTCTTAGCTCAACTCCACATCCCAGCAGCTAGCCACAATCTCTCGCTCCTCCCGACGATGTCCTAGGACACAGAACCTTTTGGACCGCAAATCGCGGTTGTGCCTCCAGTGTGAACACACCACCAATTGTGAAATAGCGACACAGGGGTGAAAAGTGCGGTGAGGTGATATTGAATATTGCGCACTTAGCCATTCATTCATCCATCCCACCAACCGCCGCTTGACACCGTTTTCTTACCGTTAGCAGTTATTAAACAGTGATCATTGACAGTTCCGGTTAGCTGGCCCGCGTCGAAATAGGAGACCACCACATTTTTAACCCTATCTCCACTCTTGTCTCTCTTTGATTGAATTGATCCTGAATCACGCATACTGACATGATGAGGAAGGGTCCTGAGCGACGAATCGGCCGCACAGCGGTCCCCCCCCCCCCGGGGTTGATCCTCTTGCCGTTCCTTGTTGAGACCACTCAAGCCATGTCGCCATGTGGCGACCTCCAAAAATAACCAGCGCGCTGCGTGATGGATCATCAAGACTCGCTCCTGACCAGATGGCATTTTGATTTAGTAGGAGTGAACGATTGGAGCGCATATAAATATGATATAGGTTAGGGTTTGGCACTACTGGTAAGGCGCGACCATTGCCCCCGGGAGATCCCGGGATCGATACCCATTAGGGTCAAAAGTCCTTCCGATGGTGGAAGGCATTGCGCCCCTAGTTGATGGACGGTGGTGACCTGGGATAAAGTTAACCTGCGAGCCGACCAGGAATGGAGTTGGGCCGCTGTCGACCCGGCAGATTCCGTTGGATGCTGGTGGTGGGTGCGGAATCTGAGCGATCCACTGAGAAGTTGACTAGGGTGACTGGATGAGGGTGTCCCGAAATACCGGGGAAGGCAGGGTTTCGCAGGGTAGCTGCCACGGGCGAAGATACACCCCCCTGTTAGAGAGAAAAAAATATGATGTTTAATTATAAAATACGGAGTTCATAATGTAGTGTAGCGTGCTTCACTTTGCCTCACGAAAACGCTACGCATGAAGAATGACACGGAATGCCCGGAATGGTGTACAACTTAGACGACGTTGAATATGTTTTGATGAGGTGGTGGTGTGGTGTGATTTCAACTTCAAAACGGCAAATCCCCGCACGCCGCAGGACTGCGCGATCTTTTTGTCGACCCTGGCAAGTCGGACGCACCGGCCGCCGCGGGAGCTTGTACGGCTGCTGTACGGCGGCATGTGCCGTCGGGTCTGGCGTACGGAAGACCTCCGAGCTTGGCCCATCCTGCTATATTCGATGGCAATGTTGGACATGTACGATGAGGATGCCGTGTCATGGATTGCCGGCCCCGTCGATCTCCACCGAGTCGCCGCCATGGAGTCCGAAGACCTGGCCACCTGCTTATTCTCCTTGTCGGTGATGCCTGAGGGCGCGATAGCTCGCCACTCCGCACTGGTTTCAACGCTGGTGGAGGCCGTGAACCGTCTGGAAGCTGAAGATTTCGGCGAGATGTAAGTGTTCTTTTCGCTTGCTTGCTTGCTAACTTTCTGGGCGCCTCCGGTTCCTTCCCCTCCTATCTATCCTCCTTTTCAAGGATGATGATCTAGTTCTTCCCTGAAGTTGTGGTACGAAGTTTGGTTTTGTCCGGAACGTAAGTATCTCCCTGTTTTTCCAGGGCATCAATATCTACGGGTGGTTCTACACGCTTTTAGAACGAGAAGCGCTTCTTTTTTTTAACCCGTCCGGTTTTCCGTCGCCCTTGTTTTGGGTTGAGAGGGAAAGTGGAAGAAGAACCCGTGCGGCTGCTGCTGTGCTGTTGATTCGTTTTCTGCAACTGCGAGACGGCGCTGGCACGGAATGCCCGCTCTTGTTGTTGTTATTATTGCTACAGGGTGGTTAAGCTTCACCAGTGGCCTCCTTCCCGAGGCAATTCCCTGCTTTCCCCTGCTAGAGGGATACCCTAGTCCGTTCACCCCATCCGACTTCCAAATGTATTCGTTGGGTTCGGCAACTCACCACCAGCATCCAACAAATCTAGCGGATCATCGGCGCCGCAACTTAGTTCCTGGTTAGCTCGCAAGTTGATATTATCACGTCCTACATCGTCCATAAGATGGGAGCCCACCTCCCATTTCATCACTCCTCAAACACCCGAGGGGTCGGCAGGCGGATTTGAACCCGGGTCGGCCGGGAGCAGAAGCCAGGCCTTAACCTCTGCCAGCCTTTGTTGTTTGCATGTCCCGCATTCACCTCCCACTATCAAATGGTATTATCATAGGACACCACCAGCACTGGCAGTGGCTGTCCCTTTGCGCAGTCGACAACCTGGCAGCCCCGCCCACCTTCCTGACAAAATCGCCTTCCTGACACTCTTGCCAGTCCTAACGGTGCGCCTTTCAAAGCAATTAAAAACGCAAAATCAGACGATATTGGTTAATATTGGTTAACCGGTGCCGCTCGCCGGCCTCGCCGTCTCCCCTTCTCTCCTATTGTGTTGGTGCAATTGCAGTGGACGCGTGCAGCTTTGGCAGTTCCACGTGGAGTGCCAAGCAGCTGCTAACGACCAACCGTCAACCTCCAGTGGCGGCCCGGCCGCAGGCGCCGCAACTCGGCCATCAAACCCGAAAAGGCAGCAGGCCACCAGCAGCAGCAGCAGCAGCAGGCGTAAGTCGACAGCGGCGGCGGGGCTCGCACAAACTGCTTCCACGGCTGCCGATAGCTCGACCCAAGATACGAGTCAGACTCGAACCCCCCGAAGCGGGGTTGTGTTGCCGCAGTTGAAGCCTGCGCTTGCAGCAGCTGGCCGCTGCGCCCTGCTGGAGAAGAACTCGCATATCTCCGCGAAGAAATCGAGCACCCTCCAGCTTTCCGTGTTCTTGCTCTTACGCAGCATGATGAATCAGGGCCAGACTCAGCAGCAGCAGCAGCAGCAGCAGCAACAACAACAACAGGAAACACAGCAACATGCATCTGAGGAGGAAGAGCAGCCGCACCTGGGGCAACAACAGCAGCAGAAGCAGCAGAAGCAGGATGGCAGGTGGCAAGGCCAGGAGCAAGGCAAGACAGTCCGCCGTAAGGTGCGAAACGCGCTGTCGAGTGCTGGTACAACAATCGCCAGTGGCGGCAGCAGCGCCGCGGCGGCGGCGGCGGCTTCCGTGGATGCATCAAGAGAGGATTCGGATGATGACGTGACGACGGCGGCGTGTACGGCGGCGGCGCGGCGGCGAGGTGAGCGGGCATCCCGGTCCCTGCCGTCGACGGCGGCCTGTAACGTCGAAGATGGCGATCCTGCCGTCCGCGGTGTTGCCGCCGATGATGACGTTGTTGTTCGCATCTTGCGTGTTGAGCCCGAGTGGTTGGTGGAGGAGCTGGGTCTGCGTGTCGACTTGTGTGTGTGGCTGAGTGACGGGCGGCAGGTGGTGGTTGAGGTAGACGGGCCCAGCCACTACTTCGCCAACCAGCCGTGCACCCGACGGCCCAAGACCGCGCTGAGGGATCGGCAGCTGGGCAGGGTGTTCGGACCGGACAACGTCAAGTGCGTGCCGTACTGGGAGTGGGAGGTGCCGGGGCCTTCAGAGTCCAAGAGGGCTTACCTGAGGCAGCTCCTAGACCTTCGGCCAATCTAGTTCCATGGATTCTTCCCGGCATTGACTCCTTACCTATAGCAATAAAAGGGTTTAGACATCAAGCCGTCACCTATAAAGGGAAGGCACTGCCACAGTGTTTGGCTCGCAGGCGAAGCTTTAGGCAAGAGCAGGATACAGGATACGCCTGGGCTCAGCTGTTAGTAGGGGTGGATACGTGAGATAACCTGACCTGGTTTGAGCTGATGCGTGAGTAATAAGCCATGTGTCCGCTGCTTGTACGTGTTTGGGCGGTTAAGGGCATGGAAGACAACGGAAACAGCTAGTCGCTGCATCTGCTGTTACGGGAGGAACGCCTATGTCTAAAATGGTGGGCTCGATTCAGCGTTGAAGGAGTGTAACCTCCCATGTTTATGGGCACCTGTTCTCCGCGACGTGATATGAAGTGAGAACCCTCAATTGAACGGGATTTGGTTCGATGGACTCCGCGCCCCGGAAACCTGCGACAGCGTCATGTTCTCCTGACCTGCACCATGAGGAGCTCGTGGCCTGCATCTTGTCGCGGCCACTGTAGCCAACAAAGTTGCTGCCGTCTTCGGCAATCGAGTGAAACCTTGCCGGCCTGTAATCCGGTTAGTATTAAAGCCACAACACCAAGGCAGGATGCTTAAAACCGCCCACCCATCCGAACATTCACTCCATGCCATAGTAAACGATGCAGCTCTTGTGTAATACGTGTGAGGCTCCGTGCTCGAGAGTCTGACGATTACGCATGAAGCGCGACGGTCAGACGGTAATTGACACTCGTAACTTATAGGGTTCCATCCATGCCCACGCGCTCTAACGCACTTTGACCCGGCGGTCCACACCAGGCCCCACAACACCAGGCCACCACCTCGACCGTGATGATAGCCATTACGGTCCTTAGGCCACCGCCACAATGGCTGCTCCAATCCGATCAAGAGACCGCAGTGCCTCTCCTGCTCCGCCGTCTATAAGCCAGGTTGCAGGTTGCGCGTGATGGCGTCCGCCCTAAACACTCTCTTCCTAGGGGCTTCGCTTCCCATCTCAACCTGCTGCCAGCCGACAATATGATCAGTTCGCCGGAGAATATCCGTCCTCGTCCAACGAAGAACACATGCAAACAAAAGGGCCCTTCAGCGTTGCGGCGCAGGTATATGCCACCGTGCTCTCCCTTTTTCTTCCCTATCTCTCACGTTCAAACCCTTCCCTCGCCACACGTTGCCGGGAAACCCGTCCAGTTGCTGTACTCCTCGAACGGTCCTTGAGACGACGGCCCACGGAAGCCACGGAAATGTAGAAAGTCATACCCAGGCACCGGCCGGGAACCAAGCACAACAGCCAGGCACAACAAACCGAGCGGTTTCAGCTCTTCACATGCCGTGGCTCACATGTCGTGACTCATAAGAGCTGTCGAGAGCGTCTTTTCGTGTCCGTGTCCATATTCTTGTGTATCCATGGTATATAGCATCATCCGCTCCGGGCTCTTGCGCATACACGTGGTAAAATACGTTACGTAGCGGGGCCAATCACGGGACGGTCAGCAGCACGGTGCTATACTCGATTACGATGACTGCACAACTCAGAACTGGCGTCGCAGTCAGACCTGGCGTCGTCACCACCACGTCATCACCGCGATGCTTTCCCACTTCACAAGCCCGAACCCCGGCCTATAAAAGGGCTCCGACACAGGTACCGTAATCATGGGGGGTAGTGCTACTGGACGCAGCACCAGGAAAGGCGTGATAGCTCTCCAATACACGCAGAGTGCAAAACCTGCAGCTATGATCAATGCCCCACCACATACCGCAATGTATAATGACATATGCCATTAGTAAACCCACTCATCCAGTACATATATCCCACAGCCAGACGCTACCCACGGGGGGAGAGAGAGCGTTGCTCAAACAGGACTCGACTTTCTTCATCGCAAGAGACAGTGAAATAAAAGTAAAGGGAGAAAAGCGTCTTCCCTTAAAAAAAACCCATCAGAAACCCCGTTGTTCATGCACCGCAGGAACCCGCCGGCCCTTTGGCCCTTAGAAGCTCGGCGTTAAGACGCCCCGTGTTATATTCGAAGTTGTCCAGAGACATTAAAACGAGCCCAAACAGCTCTTTCCATCTAGCTGCAGCTAGCCGCAGCCATCAGTCCATATTACGAGCGCAGAAATTGTCGCTGCTCAGATTCGGACGAGGAAGTCGCCGCTCTTGCTAAGCTTCCGTACCCACTTGTCGACCTGCAACGCAACCAAGGCACATGGGATGCTTTATAAAAGAAAGAGGAAGCCAAAGGGAAGTCTCCTCGAAGCATATACTGCGGGAAAGCCATTCCCGCGTTGCGGGGGGGTGGGGAAAAGGACAACAACGTCGATCCTGCACGCCCGCAACCAAGAACCAAGCCGCGTCGACGTCCTACCAATCAGCTCCGGGTTTCCGGTCTGCTCTATCCTATTGCCCAAGCAAATTGCCAAGCTTGACCATTGTTATTAGTACGGGCAGACGCCCGATAGGTCAGAATCGCACGGTCCCATCATGCCCTTCCCTTCAGAGATGGCCCATGCCCGGTCCCCACGGCCAGCTGTACACCCCCACTAATACGTGCTTGCTATACTTTCCAACCTATGGTCATTCGCGCACGCATTCCTTTCGGTTGCAAGACATGAATAGCAACCTTCCACACCACTTTCTACGAATTTGCTGCTGGAGGACTAGTCGCTTTGTTACCCCTGTACCACCATCTACCATCCTCGCAAGTTTCTGCTCTGATCGCCGGTTCCCGCCGCGCTGAAATCAGGAGAACTGCTTTAAATTCCTCACCTTGTACGCGCTGCCCTGCTTCCGCTCAACCACGCGGAGGTACTGCACCCGCAGCCCACTGCAGCCCAGCATGGGGACCTGCACACCGCCGCGGGAACAGGAAAAAAGCCATTCGAGGCTATCGCGACACAGCAATAGAGCAGATCATCGCCATTATCACTATCATTATCATTATTATTATCATTATGATGATAATGATGATGATGATGATGCGCCGCCGCAGCAGCAATAACACCGGTGTCAGGAGCAGTAGCCGTATAGCGGAAGTAGTACTGCCAGCACCAATAGCGAACGTGACGCCCTTGTGAAATAACTCATCATGATCACCAGAGCAAACATCAGGCAGCAGCAGCGATTGCAACAACGGTTAAACCGCAAAGGCACGTAAAAAGGGCCCAGCAAGGATGAAACCCCCACGGCAGCGTGAGTTGCAATACGGCGACGCGGTAGGCTGCGACGATTCGGGGAGGGCACCCCCCCCTGGGAACTGAAACACGAGCATATCGAGCACACGAGCAGACACGCACCTGGAACTGCATCTGGATGGGCGGCCGCCCCCACGGCTTCTTTTCTCTCGTAGAGGCCACCAGCGTCACCTCTGCACGCAGCGAGTGCTCTGCGCCCCCCATAAACTTGGATATCTTCCACACCAGGGCTTTCTTCGTGGCGTCGTACTTGGCACGTCCGGCTGTGACCAGCAGCTTGGCGGAGGCGGTGTTGTCGGGGACCGGCACCAGCACCACTACAGGCCCGGCCTGGGGAGGTGTGTGCGTGTGTGTGGGGGGGGGGGGGGCGGGGGAGAGGGGGGATTTCAGAGATCTCTGTGGATTGGGGGGATTGGATGGGGGTTTCAAAGATCTCTGTGGAATGGATGATTACGATACGGTTATCAACTGCTGCTGCGGCGAGGTGTACATCAGGCCCCAACAAGTTGATTCTAGTTGCGTCGTGTGGTGTGGTGTGGTGTGGTGTGACGTGTTGACTGTTGAACTCTGGGGAACAAAGCGCGTTTGAAGTCTTTCGCTTTCAATACTCAACATGAAGGAGGAGGAAGGGATAAGCGCGTCAGCCGTAGTGATTTTGGGATGGAGAAAAGCCGTGACGCCCACATCAGGCAGTTCTTGGGTATACATGGGTTGGGGGTTTTTCACATGGATCCCTGAAAGGCTCTCCCGACATCTCTCCATAAGTGGGTGATTTGCGCACTGGCGATGTACCCACCAGGTACCCGCTGCACTCACTATCACTCTCTGACATCAGGACGTCAGCCAGACGAAACCAGACGGGGCCACAAATGCAGGCCGGGTCATGTATGAACTAAGTAAGCCCCGCTCCGCCAAAAGCCAGTGACATGGCCGCCCGAAAATGCCGCAAAAGGCAAAGGTAAAGGCAAAAGAGTACGTCTAAATCACTTTAATCACCACGAAAACCTGCCCAATTGAAAAAAACTACACCAGTTTACCAATCAACACAAAACAGCAGACAAAACCTAAGGTAGTAAATTACCATTTGCTCCTCCGTCTCACCATGAGCTTGTTGGAGAAGGTGGACTTGACAGTCACGTTGGCTTCCAGCTTGGTTCGCCCGACCTCGTTAATGACGGGCAGCACCTTGAAGGGCAGTGTGATGCCCTCATTTACCCGGTACCTGCGGGGCGGGTGGGGGCCGGGCGGGGAACCGGGGGAGCGAGGAAGAGGGGGAGCGGGTCGGCAGGTGGAGGGTGGGAGATAGGGGTGCGGGTTTGGGGGCGGGGGCGTCTATAGGCTATAGGCTGGCTGCCCTAGGGGGCCCGACAGACCGCAGCCCTCCTTACCGCATGAGCTCAAACTCGCCATCCGGCGGCACGAACGTAACCACTTTTTGCGACTCGTAGGCGCCCAGGTTGACGCACTGGTGGAACGTCACGTCCTGTGGCAGTGCAGCGCCAGGAGGAGGTGGGGAGGTGGTGGGTGGGCAATGCACGAACCGTAAGGAACTAAGGCAACCGGCCCGTATTGCTCGATAGCTATGGCCTTGCGTGCATGAGGACGTGAATCTCGACGAATATGACTCATGAAAAATAGGACGAGCTTGCGGCTTCTACAGGCGAGGGATAGGCGTTGGAGACTAGCGTCTTCCGTCTATGTCCTCCTCCTCCTCCCCCGCCTCCTAAGAGACATGAACATCCCCCTAGCATGCGCCCCTTGACGCGATGGAAGCTTCCTCCCCCAATCTCCACTTCCGTTGTTGTGCGTGGCTAACTGTGCACCTACCGCCTCCTATTTGTTTTCTTCCTTCCGTTTTCCCCTCAATATTCATTCGGCTCCCGTACCCCTTCCCTAGGTGCCATTTGCCAACTTTACTCCTGAAATTGCTTAACATTTGTTAGCACTTATCCTTAATACTTGGCTGCAGCCGCACCTGCATTTGGTCGTTAAGTCCCAGTCGCAGCTCCGGCATGTCCGACAAAAAACACTTCATCTGGATGCGACCCACCACATCATTGCGCAAAATTGTCCCTGCAGCGATTTGAACCGGTGACGCCGACAATGAAAAGGCCGCCGCTACCAAACAGATCTTCGGTGATCATCATTCAGAGGACTGGTAGAGGCCACATCTGGCACAGGGGCACCAAAGCTTCCCCCAAACCAACACACGGCGACGATGCAGACCCCTCATTCACACTTCCCCTACTGCTGGCCCGGTCCTGCACTCAACCGCTCAACCCCTCCTGCAGGCTGCTGCATCCCCGAAACCCAATACACGATACGAGCGTACAACTGGCACCCCAGCTTCATACAGGAAGCCCCGCAAACGGGGAACCCCAAGGCCGGCCTATGGGGCCCCCCTTCTTTTTCTGACTTCTACTTAAATCTTTCTCTCGGACTTCTCTCCAGCAGGTTGCACCTTAGGACGTCGGCAGTTGGTTTCCAATCTTGATTTTGCTTGCTCATCCCTCCCTCACCCTCCCCCCTCCCTCCCTCCCTCCCGCCCTCACCCACCCTCCCTCTCCCTCCCTCCCTCTCCCTCCCTCACCGTTGGTGCTCATGAGCACATTGACTTGTTCCACCAGGTCCAGGAAGATCTCGTTGCGCTTGTACTTGATGCCCTCACGCCGCCACCCCACAGCACCCGTCACTGACAGAGTGGCATTGGCCGCAGCAGCCGCCTCCTTGGCCTTCTTCGCCTGCTCGGGGGGTTGGGCAGGGTTAGGGCAAGTAAGTCGAGACAGGGGACGCACGCTTCAGGAAGTTCATGAGGAAACTTAAAAAGAATTTTGCGAATTAAAAGACGGGATGGAGGTGGGAGGATTTGGGGTAACACATAAGGACGGGTTCATCGAGGCGTGCGGAGCCATCATGACGGGCCCCGGAATGCGGACTGGCATAATATAAGAAAGAATGCCCGGGAGCTCTAAAGAGGCGGACCGTGCCACTAGAGTCACCCTCCGCTCAGGAGGCGCCGTCACAACCCGCACCCAGGCCCGCATCCGGATCCTTCCCGACCAAACACATGCGGGGGTTGTGGGGAGAGAGACAAGACACCTCATGATGATGGAGGTGGGAACACTCCGCCGCCAAGGGCTTTTGCAAAGAAGTTCAACTGTGTGCAACGGTTGTTATGCAGGGGGCCCCAGGCCCCACAGGTGTTCAGGACACCACGCCAAAGTAGTGTCCGCGCGAAAAAAAGTAATATACTTTTCCCCAGGAGAATAATGCTCTGCCGTGTCTCCATAAAGAAGCGAAGCCTCCTGGCCTCCGAGTAAAGCCGAGAAAGGGACGCAAGTAAGCTACTAAGCCCGCACTGTTATGCTGTGCTCGCACAGTTGCCAGCCATACGACCGGCCGGACGGCCTCCTGCCATGAATTTATGCTTGCGGTTTGTGTATCATTAAGCCAACGACTCCCCCCGGGCGCCTTCGCAACCCGGTCACCCGCAGAAACCTCCCGGACCAAACATAAGAGAGAGTGTGCGTTGGGGGGGAGGTCCATGCATGCAAGAAAACTTCAAGGGAATGAACTGCCGGCGTCGGGTCAAGGGAGAGACACCTCACGATGGTAACAAACACTCCGCCGCGGGCGAGTGCTGGGAGTAGTGCTCCTAAGCCCTGCGCTTCTACCTTCCCAGCAGCATCCCAAAACTGCCGGATACACACCACACCATCGCCCCGGGCACAACGAGTCCGCCCTTCCCCCGGGACACGGCACAGATGTCGGCAGTTTATTCACCTTTAATAGACCAAAACCTTCGCAAGATGCAGCGCTCCGTAATGGCAACAACAGCATATATTACACTCCTTATCACCCACAACCCCATCCCCAACCCCCCACACACAGACATCCAAACCCGGGGCGGTGGATCTCTTGCCCTTGGCGCTTTAAACGTCGACACAACGACCCCTTTTCCCACATGATGCCTCTCCACCCCACCTTTCCTCACTACCACCACCATGCCACGACAACGCCCGGGAGGGACAGCACCTACCGCCGCCTCCGCTGACGACACGTTGCCACCGAGTAGGCCGCTGAAATCCGACCTGTAGCCCTTTTGCAGGATGAGCGTTTTAAGGATGGCCGGTTCCGTCAACTGCGGTCAGGTGGGATTGGGTGGGGTGGGGTGGGGGAGACAAACCACGGAGGAGAGTGAAGCTGATACCGGAGATAGGCGGAACCCCCGGGCATAGATAGATACACCAAGAAAGGGAACACAGGTACTGCAGGTCGGGTGGGGAATTACGGGATGTGGAAAACGGAATGTAAGGAACCATCTCACATTCATTCGTGGGGAAGCCCCTGAAGTGAGGGGGGTTGGCCCCCGACCGGGGTGCGGGGGAGTAAGGGACCAGGAGGGCAATGGCTTGGACAGCAGCAATAGCAGGAAGCAGCAATGGCAGTGCCGTGGGGGCCAAGAATTATTTGCTTCCCTAGCGGCTGCGGTGGCGACACCTTTGAACGACTTCAAGTCATTGTTTCCTCGCTCCTCTCGCTCATTTGACAGAAAAAAAGACCTCTCCCCAGAGGCGCTGGACCTGGTCAACCTGGCGCTCTTTATTCATGACTCTCCCGTCCATCGGCTGAGGGCCCCCTGGTGGGGTACGACGAACCACTGGCGAATGAAGCAGACACCAGAGATAAGACGGATAGGGGGTAGGTGGTGTATAAGCCTCCAGTTCGTCTCTATCCTGCCTCTGCTGCGAACCTTCAGATAGCCTAAGCGCCTAAGCGTACAGAAAGCGCGAAGCTATTATTACGGAGCACATATCACGCGTGCGGAGAGGATGGCCTGAGAGAAGCCTTTGCATGTGCAGAGGCGCGCCGAATGCGGTAGAAGAGCACCTCAGGCCATGCAACCCAACAGCTAGCTAGCTACGGCTGTGGTTGTTTCAGCTGCTCCAGGCGCACCTGGGGCAGCCCGTAGTCCATAACCTCGTCCAACAGCTCGTACATGAGCACTGTATCAGGCACAAGGTAAGACGGAGGTGAGGGCAGCTGTTACCGGGGGCAAGGCCGAGTGGGGATGTGGACGTCCACTCCCGCTCGCCTGTAAGAGAACACAGCTATATAGGTGCAAACACACACACATATATACATATTATGCACGCACACATACACGCATATAGATAAGCAGAGGGAGGAAGCATGGTGGACATTGTACGTGCGATTGCACGAGTCGGCCAATGTGTACGACGTGCGCATCACCGGCTCATGACTGGGCAGGTGTGCAGTGATGATGAAGAGACCGGACGTGCCTATACATCACCTCGAGGCCCGGAAGCAAGCTTGAACAGTCTACCGTCGTATGGAAGTACTACGTATGTGCATATTTTGTATGTGACACGGAACATGGCCCAGAAGCCTCCCACTCTGTAACAATTCAACACGGAACATGTGCGGAAGCTTCTTCGACGCGGGCAGTGGAAAGCATCTTCATGCAGCATCTTCATCAGCTGTTCTTCCTTCGGCAGATGCCATGAGGCCGTGCAGGAGTACAGGAGTGCAGATATCTGGGGTAGAGCGTGTGAGGAATACCTGCCTGATGGAGAGCGGCACACATTTCAATGCTGCTCACACCTTGACACATACAGGTGCGGGGGCGGGGGTGGGGCCGGGGGCGGCGGCACACCTACCAAAATTTGCCCGTATCGATGACTCCGTAAGGTCGCCCTCGAAGTACGATTGGAAGAGCGAAACGAGCTGCATGGAGCGTGCATTCAAGGGGGGGAGAGAAGAAAGAGCATGTGGGTGGTGCAGAGCAGGACAGCGGCTGCTATATCGAACCCAGAAAAATTTCCTTCCGTCACAGCACGGCAAGATAAAACAGTGGGGTTAGCATACAACCCGACAATTGAGCGACTGTGCGTGCGCCCTCACGGCCATTGAGCTGGAATTGGGGTTTGAAGGGGAAACGCGGCCGCTGCCTGCAAGCTGTTGATGGCAAAGCCGGAAGGAGAAACGGCTGCCCAGCAAGCTCCTGGTGAAGCCCAAGCTAGAAGCTGTGCTGCTCGCTCGCGGTGCCCTTACCGATGTCATGAATTGGAACGACAACATCGCGTTCCCGTTGCCTCGGGTCAGCAGCAGGATGTAGACGTCCGCGTGGCGCAGGTACATGAACGTGACTGAGCCAAGAGTCCGAATAGGACCATGAACTGCCGTGGCATCGCGATCGCGTGCGTTTAAAATTCGATCTCGAAAACTCTCCGCTATCTCTCGGCTGCAGGCGCACCGGGCAACACCCAAGGGCTCAGTCACGGATCTTGGTGACAAGTCTCAAACCCAACATCCTATTCATTTTCATCAATAACAACAGGTTTAATCAAACTTTTCATGCGTACGTAACTGCGGGGTCTTCCAATACATCAGCAAGTTGCGATGTTCTGGGAAACGGTAGGCATCCAAGCTTCTCTCCGCCAAAGAACTTACTCAACGTCATCCTTGTATCTTCGTTCTAACAGAATATCACCACGCAGGTTAAGAAAGTAAATAGCAGATGCCGCTGAGGCCATCGTTTCCGAGGCCCCGCGCGCGGCCTACTCTAGCCCAACCCGTTGATGTATCAAGTGCTCCAGGACGACATTGATTCTACTACAGCAAACTGCCTCGCGGACCAGGCTATGGGATACAGGAAGTCATGCACGGTATGCGACGGGCAAATAATGGCAAACGAATGTGCGTTGTTGCAGTTTCGATGTGATCATACAAAACTTGAGGTAGCGAAAAGGAATCTTTCGCACACACTGCGACAAGAAGTACGAAAACCAACTGTTAACGAAAACTGACAGGACGACAGGGTCCCGCCGAGTTCTTTTCGAATAAGGCCCACAGTGTTGTGCGGGAGGCGTCCTAGGGGCGCTGCACTCGACCCGTTCGGGGTCCACTGTAACAATCGCATTCCCGTTTATCGAAATTGGATGCTGTTTCCATGCCGCCGCATGACAATCTTTCCTGGATTAACTGCCAGCCTTTAGAAGTGCCTTAAACTCCTGGGCGCGAGTAGTCTTGTAAGGCAACTTACGTGGGCAATGGAAGGGGCAATGCATGCGCGAAGAGGCTTCCCGCACCTCGGTCCGGTTCCACATAGCAGGAGGCAACCTACTATTTCTGTTTTCCCTGGAGACATGCGATTGGGCACATCCTGCTCTCAAACTTCTGTCGGTGCGCCTCCCGCCACCAGCGCGCGACCCAACAAATTCTGCGAACCGAAACCTGGGCAGCTTCCGAGCTTAGGACTTGGGAGACGTTGCAGCATTTCATGTCGAAAAAGATGCAGGTAGCTAACGAAGCGGTGATCACGAAAAGAATACTTAAGCAATGCTGAACAGTGGGCATGTGAAGACTCTTGTAGGATCGAGTTTGATCGAGGGCCTGGAGGATCCCTAACCAGGAAGACAGCAATAATCAACTGCTGAATCAACCCTTGCTTATTTTCGCACCGTCGTACACGCGCGTCTCCACTCCCCCTTCCGCTAAGCCAAGTAAGACACATGCGCACTCGGGGCACCACCCAACGACAGCCGAGCGCAACCTAACGGAGCCATCGGAGCCATCACATCGTTTAGCTTACGCGCCATTTGGGTTTTGCTGGCCACGTTACGAGGTCACACAAATAGAAACTCTGAGGTTAAACACCTTTGACTTATCGTTCGTATTCCTCCCATGAGGAGGACATGCCAGGGCGACATCCGGCATTCTGTTGATCAAGAAAGACTTAAAGTCGTAAGACTTTCCCTACTACCTTGCTTACTCCCTTAACATCAGACACATGGGAGTAACATGTAAACACGCAAACCGACAAACAAACATACATACATATGCGCACATATGCGTGCTCTGCATTTGTTAGGCGGAATTTTAGTCCGCATGCACACATGTGCATGACCATCAAAACAAAAATGCCTGCGCCATTTTCACCGTTTGCCTGCCAACACACACACACACACACATACACACATACATACACATACATACACACACAAACATTCTGCATCGCATCACATCATTCGTTATGTTTGATGTTTGATGTAAGTCTTCTGATATCATCATTTGCGAATACACACACATATAATACAAACAAGTGCATACGCGCCCATTGACAGCAAGGGACGCCCCCACAATAGCAACCACAAAAAAAGAAGAAAACCCCCACACCAACTGACAAGGCTGAAAGCTCTACTAAGTGAAGGCAGATTGACTTCACCAGAAGAGCAGAAGCTAACGGAAGGGATCGCTTCAGTGATCCAGGTCGTACGACAGCAGCCGCACACAGAACCAGTAATAGTAATTGTTGTTACATGGTCGTGGGTGCGTTCCCCGTACCTGCAAACCACCCTTATACGAGCCGAGGGCTCAAGGGCTGCCAGATCGCCTATAAGCACCATCCTACCTCGCACTTCCAACGAAACAAGTGATGAAGGTTACTACCGACCAAAGGGAACGATAGAGTTGCGGTGGGACCATGTACGTTCCAGCATCCTTGCCAAGCGTTCAGGTTCCCACTTCATAGCGTCCTTCATATGCTCGAAGCGTGGGAAACCCATATCAGATCTGATTTTGTCGTACACCGGACAGTTCAGCAAAATGTCCCCGGGAGGGGCCAGGTAACAGTGCCGGGTTGGTTTTCATGGTTGCAGCCATATATCGTCTCCCATGCTCCATGGCTGGCACTGCAGCAAGAGCCATAACATCCCAAACACATTGTTGCACTGTTTGTGGGGCTTGGAGTGAGACTGGCGAAACCTATTGACAGAGTGAGTTGACCTGCTACAGCCAAAACTAGGAACACCTATAGCCTTTGTAAGGGATAACCTTCCAACCTATCAATCAGGTTTTTTATGAGGCGTTGTAAAACGTGTTACTCCGAGATGTCAATTTGATACTTGGTGGCCATCAAGCAGCAATTTTTCCCCACCGAGTTTGAGCTTTTAGTACAGGAAGAATGTGCGCATTTTATTACATGTTAATCTACATTTAAGCCGCGAAGCGCGCGAATACGGGCGTATATCCCTAACTAATCCCCCAACCTTAATCCGCCTAATCCGTCCTAATCCGCGCAATGTCTCCATTAAGCCTTAATCCGTGACTTTTAATCCAAGTGGAAACACCCCCGTAAATTGTTAGCTCGGTGACGACCTCCTGTGGCGGCCTGTCGTTATTTCAAGAACACTGCTCATGACATTTTGTTCGCCAGGCATGGTGATATGCCATACTCGCTTACTCTGCTTGATGCGAAACATAACTGTCGCGACGTTGAATTCATTAAAGCATCTTTACAGGGTGTTTCCACTTGTCCGAACACTATCTTCGGTACACTATGTGCTAGTGTGGACTTAGTGTGACAGTGTTTCCACTAGCGGCACTAAGGAGCGCCGAAACCAAAATTGCTTTCGTATTTTGAACGTTTTAGCGCCAGGGATTAATTGCTGTTGATTCTCAAGGTCTGTAAGAATTCGCGTATTTAAGATCCGCTGCGGCGCAGCCTGCGTCATGATGTCCGCCATGAAGTCCGCATGGTGCTTTGGCAACGTCCGGCCAGCGAAGGAAGGCAAACGAGCAGTATATGTTTGCTGAACGTTATTTAAGGAGGGCTCCATTGCAAAATGGCGGTGTTCTGAGGCTGTCGGTGTTGGGCGTGCGCAAGTCAACGCGGCGTTTGCAGGAAGGAAAAAAGATAGCTGCTTACGTCTAAAGTCTATGGTCAGAAGGGACAATCCAGCTCATAAAAGTTGCCCGCCAAATAGTTAGTGCTAGGTACTAAAGTTAATGGCAGGTCTGAGGTCCAATTAACTTTAGTGTGCGCAAGTGTGGACTTAGTGTACGGGGTGTTTCCACTAGGCCTTACGGTTCTCCGCCAGGAGTGCCCCAACCTCCAATTTGTTTGATGAATATTTTCTACTATCATTAGTAGTATCAATATATGCATTTAGAACGGCAAGAGAGGAGTCCAGGACGAAGAACATTCAAACTTAGTGTTAGTGTTCGGCCAAGTGGAAACACCCTGTTAATATGAATAATACATGATAGTTATGGTTTCTACAATGTAACCTGGGCGTGATCCACATTGAAACAGGCAAACCTACTAATCGCTGTTTGCGATAACCGCCCGCAACCGTCGGTGCAGGAAACTGCACTGCCTTCTGGCCAATCCATTGAAGCCGTGCCTCTTTCTCAGACACATTTTTTTTATGTTTCACAGCAAGTGTTTGCAGTTGGTGGAGTACTGCATGCGTGGCCAGTCGGAGGTGACGAGCTCGATGTGGACAGAAGTAAAAGTACAGGAGAATATACAGAAATCAGCTTTCTAATTTTTTGTCGATCGCCACGATACTACAATTGCGTATCGTGGCGCGTTTGGACGGATGACATGTAACCCCGAATAGTCCTAATGTGGCAATGGCATGTCGCTCTGAAACCCTTTGAGCTGCGCTCAGCAAGCTTCATGGCGGGGATCCGGGGAGACCTTGCAGAGCCAAATCACCAATCAGTATCATAGGAACTAACAACATCCGCTGTCACCAAGCATATGTCCCAATTGCGATCAACTCGTGGTTCGTTTGCACCAGGAGTTTGTATGGCAAACTGGTTCCTTAACAAAGAACGCAGCATGAACGAATTGAATTGCTCATGCGCAGCTTCAGATTGTAAACGACCAAAAATCAGAAACTATAATCGCCGACATATCATTAGAACCATTAATGCTCTGTGCATAACTAGGCATACTTCGAAGCTTCTACTTGCACAAGGGATGCCATTTGGCCTCATTGGGGTGGCAATCGCGGATTTTGTTACGTTATGGTTGCGACTGGCGTTGAACCCCCTGGTAGGAACCCCTGCTACAGCAGATCTCGGCGGAAACTTACATAGCCCGGCAGGAAGATCCCAGATGACGCTTAGATGAGCCTAGAGAAACCTGTGTGGCCCTGCGAGAACGAAGCCTAGCGAATGCGTCTCTAGCGCCATTTTTCGCTATAGGATAGAAACCTAGCTAACGCTGCAGGAGCGGAGCCTATTTAGCGCCTTGGAAAGAAACGACAGGAAAACCACCACAGTGGAAACGAGCTCCAGCTGAATTTTCCGGTTTTTGCACAAACCACAGCATCCAGTGGAATCTGTCGGATCAAAAGGCGACGAAAAATCCATTCATGGTCATCTCGCATATTTGTCGCTACAACCGGGTCCACCACCGTGGTGGACAGTGACTGTCCACGGGTTAGGACCGCACGTCTTCGTGTGCAGTCCGTGGAGCCCTTGGGGGCCTTCTGGAATCACTTCAGACGCACTTGAACACATTTCCACCTTAGCTGGTGTGTTCCAGACTCTTGTTTTTACTCTTATGGTAAGGACCCAGATCCAGACAGCAAAATGCATTCTCCTCTTTGGCTCGTGTCGCCCCGCCCACTTCCTGCGTCTATGGCCACGTTCTGTGTTGCCCAATCACCAACGCACATTCCATGCTGCAGCTAAGTGCGTGCATAAACCACCAATTGAAAGCTTGCAGTTTGTGGCTATTGTGGCGCGGTGCATCTGCTGCAACCACTTGGCAGCGATCACTCCGGAGTGGCAAAGATGAGGCAGGGTGGGGTGAGGACGAGTGGCATCTTTGCTCCGGTCCGTGAAACCATCGGTCTGCGTTCTGCTATTTGTTTGTTTACGTCTTCTCTGATAACTAGACGACGAGCTCACGTGGGTAATCTATTTTATCTGCGCGTCTGGCATCGCGCGCACCGCCGTGCGCGCGGAGATCCCACTGCAAGCGGCTTTAACCGGAAGAACGCCAGATTCTTTTTGCACGATACTTGTATGCTGTTTTAATTTGTGCAAGGCGCATTATGCCATGGCATCGGCAACGCATCAGTCGAAATGTGGCAGCCCGCAACTCATTACAGTTATCGCACAAAACGGCTCTGTTTGCTGATATTAACGAGTCATATTTATTATTTAGTCACGTTTGAAACAGGAGCGGCGCTTGTTGCAGGTCACGGGGAATGCGGCCCTGCCTCGTTACAGAAGAGAAGGAGCTGTGAGTCCGCGGCCCGCATTATTTCGTGTTCACAAAGGATAAGGAAATTATTGCCCCCGCCTTTATTACGTTCGCAAGTCATTTTCATCCGTGTCGTACAAGCACCCCCGGGAGGGAGAGTCTCGCTAGTCATTTTCGAGCTGCAAATCCGTGATCTCTGTCGTAAAAGGCACTTGTTGGAGATTCTACCTAGTCATTTTCGTGCGCGTCGATATTAGTCGTACGAAGCCGACGAGCTTATTACTACGCCTTCTACCGGCTTTGCATATGAACAAAGACTTTTCCAGGCTTTTTGAAATCCTTTACAAAGTCGTAATCGTGCTGTACTATACTATCTCTAGGTAGTGTTAAGACGTCCATCTCCACGACCTTCATAGCAACACATTTCGCTTGGTGGATGATCATTCTATCAGGCATTCTGAAATCCTTTGCAAAGTCGTAATCGTGCTGTACTATACTATCTCTAGGTAGTGCTAAGATGTCCATCTCCACGACCTTTATACCAACACATTTCGCTTGGTGGATGATCATCCTTGCTGCCGGTGAGTTCGCTTTCTACTCCGCCTACGTTCTGACCTGCGGACCACGTTAACCATGCCATACATTCCTGCATGCGAAACACCCTATAGTCCATGGCATTCAGCAGTCATTAATGTAGAATAATTTATGTCTAGTAATCTACTCGAATGCTCCTGTAAATCTGTACATACAGTTCAAGGAGCTCTGGCAGCAAACACGCAACGGCATAGGCCGGTGCAACATACTCGGTTGCTCGACCGAGAACGTCGAAAAAATCCAATACCATTTGCAGCGCTGAGCGTGGCTTTCCTCGTTGTTGGGCTGCTACTATTACTGATGATAATACCTGGTGAGTTATCGAATGACTGCCGTGTTGTATCATACGTACCTTCCGAAGCGTACAAACGCATTTGTCCAGTAACTGTTTTTGATCGCGAACCAATATTTCTCAGTGCCTTGTACTAAAAACCATTTCACATGTTCTTTCACATATCGTGCCTTTCGCAATAAGAATATGTATGAACGGCATATTGGTCGCTTGTCCTGGCAATAAACCCTCTTACTGATGACATCGTCAAAACAGGTACATCTGCGACCAATGAAAACCAACAGAGGAAACGCAGACGTGTCGACGAGTTTACGGCCGAGTTGTATCCCGATTTGCTGGCCGTAGACACTACTGCTACTGCTGGCATATCCACACCGTCAATACAGCAACACAATTCTGCAGCGGCGACGACCTCACAGCCAATCCAACAAATGGTCCAACCGTTCGCCAGCTCTCCTCTATCAGCAGTACAACACCAGCATCCACCAACTATCGCTGGCGCTGCTACCTTATCCTTCGATGAGACGCAGCAACATGACTTGCTTTAGTCACCTAATACCGTGCCAGCTCAAAATGGATGGCTTATGAAGCCAGCATCTGTCGGCGCGTTGCACCAACAATTCCTACCATTACCAAACGCCAACAACCAACAGCAGTTGCACCAGCAAATGCGCTTCCACAAACTCCTTCCGGAGCTATTCCACCACCCCCACCACAAGCTGCGCTGGAATACTTCGCTCAGCTTAAATCCGGTAAGCCTGTAACTTATTATTGTGGCATGTACTGTGCAGAACAATACCTAATTAATGGCCAATTCACTCTGTTCATTATAGCTTTTAAATAAGCAATCTTGCTTATTATGATAAGATAGCACTGCAATTGCATACTACATTACAGCTGCCGAGAAGCTTCACAAAGGAAATAGGTATACGCCCGATGACGTAGCTTATCTGTACAAAGCAATTCAAGACCATGGCGTGCTCTTAGAACACCTTTACCTCCCTGGCATGACGGTCGTGGTTAGCAAAAACCTGTCAGCCCCAAAAATCGAAAATGGTGCTTTAGCTATCGTGCAAGAAATCACTGAATCCATGCTGTCACTCCAGCTCTTGGACTCCCAATCCATAATCCGCCTGCCAAGGATATGCGAGGTCAAATACAAGAATGGTGCCAAGCTTGAACGCAAAATGTTCCCCGTCGTGCCTGCTTTTGCAAGAACTGCACACAAGGTGCAGGGCGATACCATAACGGATCCCGTCATTATTGACTTTACAAACATGAACCGACTAGGGCAAGCATATGTAGCACTGTCGCGAGTTGTGGATATTGAGCAGCTGCACAGACTGCCCATCGACATCCAATTGACACCAAACATGTTCAAGGCACATGTACCCACTTAAGCACCATGGTTCATACTACTGCTGAGACTGCATTTGTTGTTGCTGCTACTGTCTTCCTGCCTCACACAAACTGTGCATTATGATGACCTTAGACACCTATCCCACGTCCCACCTGCAATGTCATCTACCGTCACAACTTTAACAGCAGCTGCGAGTCATCAGTCCCAGGCTCAAGCCATGGGTTTATCCGTCCAGCAGTACGAAGGCGTTGGTTTTCACACTCCGCCCACCGCCGTAACAACACGCGCCACACGACGCCCCGACAACGAACGAACCCAAAACAAGAAGCATATCTTAATGATATGTTTATCATGCAATGTGACTGGCCTACCACAATCGGAGAATGTTCAACACTCCTAAACAACAGGTCAGCAAACTATGAAGACTTCAAGAATAAATACAATGAAAACCTGCATCAGGCAGGCAACGAGCAGCGCTTCACTCGCGCAGACTTACCATGGACGAAATCAACAAACTGACCAAAAGCCAGGCCTGGCTTTTAGTAAGCTTGCCAATTTCGTCCATGGATAATCCTCGTGAGTGGAGAGCCGCACGTTGCCTGCCTGATGCAAGTTTTTCATTGTATTTTTTCTTGAAGTCTTCGTAGTCTGCTGTCCTGCTGCTTAGGAGTCTTGAGCATTCTCCGATTGTGGTATGCCAGTCACATGGCATGATTGACATATCATTAAGGAATGCTTCTTGTTTGGGGGTTCGTTCGTCGTCGGGGCGTCGTGTGGCGCGTGTTGTTATGATGGTGGGCGGAGTGTGAAAACCAACGCCTTCGTACTGCTGGACGGATAAACCCATGGCTTGAGCCTGGGACTGATGACTCGCAGCTGCTGTTAAAGTTGTGACGGTTGATGACATTGCAGGTGGGACGTGGGATAGGTGTCGAAGGTCATAGTAATACAAAGACTGTGACAGGCAGTAAGACAGTAGCAGGAACAACGTAAACAGCCAAACAGTAGTATGAACCATGGTGCTTAAGTGGGTACATGTGCCTTGAACATGTTTGGTGTCAATTGGATGTCGATGGGGAGGATGTGCAGCTGCTCAATATCCACAACTCGCGACAGTGCTACATATGCTTGCCCTAGTCGGTTCATGTTTGTAAAGTCAATAATGACGGGATCCGTTATGGTATCGCCCTGCACCTTATGTACAGTTCTTGCAAAAGCAGGCACGACCGGGAACATTTTGCGTTCAAGCTTGGCACCATTCTTGTATTTGACCTCGCATATCCTTGGCAGGCGGATTATGGTTTGGGAGTCCAAAAGCTGGAGTGACAGCATGGATTCGGTGATTTCTTGCACGATAGCTAAAGCACCGTTTTCGATTTTTGGGACCGTCAGGTTCTTGGTAACCATGACCGTCATCCCGGGAGCGAGGTAAAGCTGTTCTAAGAGCACGCCATGGTCTTGCATTGCTTTGTACAGATAAGCTACGTCATCGGGCGCATACCTATTTCCTTTGTGAAGCTTGTCGGCAGCTGTAATATGCTGCAGTTGTTGAAAGTGGGTGTGTGCCATATCTTGGTTATACTTGTTGATTTCTTCGTTTGTTCCAGCTATGTGCCATGATTTTTTGGGTGCAACGAAATTTTGGGAAGAGTTTACCACACGAGTCTGCAAAAGTGCCAGGACAGGTTCGGTTGGTGGCCCTACCCTGATCACATTGAGTGCGTCAATCCATGCTTGATTATTAGGATTCTGTCGGTAATTTGTTCCTAGTTGAATTTCTTGAAACATGTGCCACATGGCCCATCTGTATGGCTGGTGTATGTTGTTACAGGGTGGTTAACTTCGCCAGCGGCCCCCTTTCCCGGGGCAGTCCCTGCTCTCCCCTGCTAGAGGGGCACCCTTATCCGTCACCCCATCCGACTTCAGAATGTATTCGTTGGGTTCGGCAACTCACCACCAGCATCCAACCAAATCTAGCGGATCAACGGCGCATCAACTTAGTTCCTGGTCAGCTCGCAAGTTGATATTATCACGTCCTACACCGTCCATAAGATGGGAGGCCACCTCCCATTTCATCACTCCTCAAACACCCGAGGAGCCGGCAGGCGGATTTGAACCCGGGTCGACTGGGTCGACCGGGAGCAGAAGTCAGGCCTTAACCTCTGCCAGCCGCCTGCCTAGGGCTGGTGTATGCATGCATCTTCGTCACACTTACGGTCACACACGGCGGCAAGCTGATGCTTGTCACCACTAAAGGTGTATTAATTTTCCAGCAAAAGGAAGGGTGGATGGTATGATGGGGCAAGCATCCAAGCAGCGTTGGTGCAGCTGCTGCAGGAATGCGGCCTTGGCCATGCTGATTTCATCTAGACAAATGACATCAGCCATGGCCAACAACATGAGCATGTATCGGTTGGTGAGCGGTATCCATTGGCTGCCCTGAAAGGCAAACGCGAAGTGTGCTGTCTTTGCCCCCATGCCCAGGAATTTTGCAGCTTTTCCCGTGGTTGCGCAGGCCCATGGCTGCAGCTTTGCTGATGAATGCACGCATGACATGTGTTTTGCCGTGTCCTCCAGGCCCTTGGATGCGCCACAAGCGTTGTGATGGATGTTCAACGTTATTGTTGTCGTTAGGAGCTCTAACAGCATCTAGGATGGAAAGGACTTTTGCTTGGTCTCTGTCGCGGCTGCACTCATCAATTCTGCACTGAAGAACGTCGGTTGTTTCGGTAGGGGCGTATTGTCGGTTGATGCTGTCCTTGAAAAAGTTGTTTAGTCGCGCAGTATCCTAGGAACTAACAACATCCGCTGTCACCAAGCATATGTCCCAATTGCGATCAACTCGTGGTTCGTTTGCACCAGGAGTTTGTACGGCAAACTGGTTCCTTAACAAAGAACGTAGCATGAACGAATTGAATTGCTCATGCGCAGCTTCAGATTGTAAACGACCAAAAATCAGAAACTATAATCGCCGACATATCATTAGAACCATTAATGCTCTGTGCATAACTAGGCATACTTCGAAGCTTCTACTTGCACAAGGGATGCCATTTGGCCTCATTGGGGTGGCAATCGCGGATTTTGTTACGTTATGGTTGCGACTGGCGTTGAACCCCCTGGTAGGAACCCCTGCTACAGCAGATCTCGGCGGAAACTTACATAGCCCGGCAGGAAGATCCCAGATGACGCTTAGATGAGCCTAGAGAAACCTGTGTGGCCCTGCGAGAACGAAGCCTAGCGAATGCGTCTCTAGCGCCATTTTTCGATGTAGGATAGAAACCTAGCTAACGCTGCAGGAGCGGAGCCTATTTAGCTCCTTGGAAAGAAACGACAGGAAAACCACCGTGGAAACGGGCTCCAGCTGAATTTTCCGGTTTTTGCACAAACCACAGCATCCAGTGGAATCTGTCGGATCAAAAGGCGACGAAAAATCCATTCATGGTCATCTCGCATATTTGTCGCTACAACCGGGTCCACCACCGTGGTGGACAGTGACTGTCCACGGGTTAGGACCGCACGTCTTCGTGTGCTGTCCGTGGAGCCCTTGGGGGCCTTCTGGAATCACTTCAGACGCACTTGAACACATTTCCACCTTAGCTGGTGTGTTCCAGACTCTTGTTTTTACTCTTATGGTAAGGACTAGATCCAGACAGCAAAATGCATTCTCCTCCTTGGCTCGTGTCGCCTCGCCCACTTCCTGCGTCTATGGCCACGTTCTGTGTTGCCCAATCACCAACGCACATTCCATGCTGCAGCTAAGTGCGTGCATAAACCACCAATTGAAAGCTTGCAGTTTGTGGCTATTGTGGCGCGGTGCATCTGCTGCAACGACTTGGCAGCAATCACTCCGGAGTGGCAAAGATGAGGCAGGGTGGGGTGAGGACGAGTGGCATCTTTGCTCCGGTCCGTGAAACCATCGGTCTGCGTTCTGCTATTTGTTTGTTTACGTCTTCTCTGATAACTAGACGACGAGCTTACGTGGGTAATCTATTTTATCTGCGCGGCTGGCATCGCGCGCACCGCCGTGCGCGCGGAGATCCCACTGCAAGCGGCTTTAACCGGAAGAACGCCAGATTCGTTTTGCACGATACTTGTATGCTGTTTTAATTTGTGCAAGGCGCATTGTGCCATGGCATCGGCAACGCATCAGTCGAAATGTGGCAGCCCGCAACTCATTACAGTTATCGCACAAAACGGCTCTGTTTGCTGATATTAACGAGTCATATTTATTATTTAGTCACGTTTGAAACAGGAGCGGCGCTTGTTGCAGGTCACGGGGAATGCGGCCCTGCCTCGTTACAGAAGAGAAGGAGCTGTGAGTCCGCGGCCCGCATTATTTCGTGTTCACAAAGGATAAGGAAATCAAAGCATATATGTTATTAAGCTACTGTTTCTTTTGAAAAACGTAAGCAAAAGCCTGGGGATCGCTGGGGGGAGCTGCCGGAAGACCACCCGCCCGGCCGTCAGGGCGATGGATTCAGGGCGATGACCTGGATCCACTTCGCCTTGCACTTTTTGATACAGGGCGATGGATGACGTACAACAAAGGTCACACTTGGCAAGAGAACATAAGCCTGCCAACTGAAAACAATTCAGTATTTCTTTAATGAATAAAAGGAATGAAATGCTGCTAAAACATCCAGTGTTGGAAAACGTAGGTGGCGCTGCAATGCTCACCCTCTGACCCACCTAATGCCTTGAGGAATCATAAGACATGATTGGATGGCGTCCCAGTCCATTGCTGGCACAGCAAGCTGACGTATGGATGCGCGGGAAGCCCATGACCCAATCTCTTGCCGTTTCGGACATAGGGACCGTATAGGCTTAATGCCAGCGTCACGCTTTCAAAGAAGCGGATGTGGATAGCGAAGGCTCCCTATGTGCGGCATCCTTTGATAGCGACGAGCACACTCGCTAGTAGCGTGCGTCCTTTTACAGACGTGACGTATCGCGTGCGTCTTTTTATGCATTCGTGATAAGACGCGAATACATGTTGCATTCAATATTCATCATGTCCCATTGCAGAAGCTAGCTGCATGCGGGAAACTCCGATTCTGCGTTTGTGGGTTAGCTCACCGGTAATACCAGACATGCATATCTACCAGAACTCACGACGCATGGCAGAATCATTTACACAGGCCCTGAAACGTATAGTTCGATCATGAGGATCATAAATCTAGGAAAGGATCCTATCTATTCATCGCTAAAATTCTCTCCAGACCACGTAAAACGACAAGGACACGAAAACGGACCCACGAGCAAAGTTCAGCAGCGAACGAGGATGGTATACTGAATAGATGATCCACTCGTTGGCCTCGTCAGGGTTGGGTTAGAAGCTCGCGCAACCCCGATGGCCAGGTAATGGACCTACTAAACACCACCAAACCTGAATAATATCTTACCAACATTCATATAGCGAACGTTATCAACCTATGTTTCGCATTCCTTATGCCATGCAAGGGCGCCCATGTGCATGACTCCCACTCCATTCTTGTAAAGCCTCTTTGTGTAAAGCCGCACCCCTTGCTTACAACAAGCAAATCAACGGCTTGTTCCAACATTCTTCATTGATTTTAAGCCTATATGGTCCCTATGTCCGAAACGGCAAGAGATTGGGTCATGGGCTTCCCGCGCATCCATACGTCAGCTTGCTGTGCCAGCAATGGACTGAGTACTTAAGCTACTGGGACGCCATCCAATCATGTCTTATGATTCCTCAAGGCTTTGTGCGGATCAGAGGGTGAGCGTTGCGGCGCCACCTACGTTTTCCAACACTGGATGTTTTAGCAGCATTTCATTCCTTTTATTCATTAAAGAAATACTGAATTGTTTTCAGTTGGCAGGCTTATCTTCTCTTGCCAAGTGTGACCTTTGTTGTACGTCATCCATCGCCCTGTATCAAAAAGTGAAGGCGAAGTGGATCCAGGTCATCGCCCTGAATCCATCGCCCTGACGGCCGGGCGGGGGAAGACCATACCGTAATCGCTGTTGGCATTCGGGGACACTTGTAATCAGGTCGTTGAAGATTATGGTGTTAGCTGTAAAGCTTATATCACTGAAAATATTATAAAACTTAAGCAGTTTTTTTACGAAAGCAATCCAGCAAAGTGCCATGGACCATGCTCTACTTCGCTAGATGTAAATTCGAAATGAAATAAGCGAAGCGGAAATTGGCAAGCTGTAAAGAACAAAATAAGCTAAAACTTTGCTGCAAAATGGCGGTGTATCCAACGTCAAATGTTCACGGGTACATCACGGGCCTATCGCGCGGCCTTCACGGGTGGCGACGCGCTAGATGAATAGGTTTCCATATACCTTGCATTGTCATATGTCATACTTAAGAAAAACGTATACCAAATGTACCCGATCCTCGTTATTTTCATTTTTTTCGTGAGCCATGTTAGTCCGCGCCCACATCATTGGCTTCCGGAAAACTACCCTAACCCTCAGACGCATCCATCTGATTGTGGGCGCAATTCATCAAGCTGGGTTTGCGACCCTGATGGGCTGATAACTATTGAGATCGGGAATGCTTTGGACGCCGTCATCGCGAAGATTGGAGTTGGTGGCAAGCCCTTTGCCCAAGCTCCGTGCGGCACTTCAGGCCTTGAGGGATTTCGGGTAGGTTGAACCACAAATATGAACTGGCTGCCGCTCGCAGTCTGATCCTGGGCTTCTACAAATACCGGCGCACTGGGGCCCATGACCCAAGCGACGGCACGCCAACCTTGCAATAAAGGTTATCCGCTACGAGATAGCAACATGCATTTTGCACGCTGTTAATGAAATGCATTCGTTATTGGCTCCCAGTGAACATTCGAATCTCCGCGACATCGGCCACGAACCCCTGCGACGTCGGCACACAATTTGTGACCATTCCCACTCAGCGTTCTGGTGCAGACCAAAAAACGCTACGTAACATTATCCTCCATCATCCTACGTTAATAAGGTACAACTCCTCACTGGTCGCGGTGCTCCGAAATTCGTCGCATGAGCGTCCACGAACCTATCCTTGGCTTATCATAAATGCTTAGACCAGATTGATTTTAAACTTCAATAACATAATGAAACGCCAATAACCACAGATGGCAGTTGCGTTGATGCACCGGTTTTACGACTCCAAAGATCCGGCGGCGACTGCGCGAAGTTTCGCTTATAAGTTGTAAGAAGCCTGGGGCGTGGGAGATCCAGCGTGCGACAACGGCGTGCTGCTGCTGCTCTCTGCGCTGCAAGACCAAATGGTAGTGGTCGCCGGTGAGGCCGTGGAGGCTCTGCTGCCCAACGATACCTTGGCGAACATCGTCGAGGGGGTGCGCGTGGAGGTTAAAGACGGCAGGTAGGTCGGTTCCCCCCGTGTGTGACTCACACAGTGTGAGTGAGTGAGTGTGTGTGTCTCTCTTCCTCTCTTTGTCATGTCCGTCTATCAGTATGTATGTATGCCTGATTTCATCTGTCCGTCCGTTCGTCTGTTCGTCCGTTCATCTGTTTGTTTTTTGTTTGTCACCGCAACGCCACCTTCTGTCCGCTTCCTTTCCTTTCCCTCGTTGACAAAAGCGGTTTAGGATATGCGGCGGATGAAGGATGCACTTTATTCTTAACGTATTCATTGTGATCCTTGCATCGGTAGTGATCGACTCTTGTCGCTCTGCGATTATATCCGATTTCCCGGACCGATACGGCGAACCTGTTAGGTGCTGCACCACTCGTTTGGTCGCCTCGCACGGCTCGCCTTCTGTCTCCTGGCGGCTGTACCTGTATACCTCTAAAGCAGGACAGAATTATTCAGGAGGTTATCCTAATTTCCCTTGGAAAAAACATCCGCGTTCCAACCCGACTTGACTGCTGACATCCAAAATTGGGACGCGCAAACATCCGCGATTGCTATTATATCATTATTTATTATTATTCATTATGCATTTTTTATTTAGTATTAGTTATTATTACTATAGTTGCGGTTTTTATTGCTGCGATAATGGTTAGGAGGTTTAGGAGGAGGAGTGCGAGGTCTCCTGGATGATAATCATGAGGATTTCGTCTATGATGGTCATAACAATAATCAAGAATATTTAATAATGTGGTGAACGTCCTCTGTGGGATCCTCATGTGCGCGTACGTACGTTAGGTACGGCGCCGCCATGGAGCTCGCCGCCACACGAATCGGCCTAGCTCTGGCAAGCGCTCTGCAGCCTCACGACAGCGGTGGTGGTGGCGGCGGTAGCGGCGGCGACGGCGGCGGCGGCAGCGGCGGTGACGGCGGCGGCAGCGGCAGCGGAGGTGATGATGGCGGCAGCGGCAGCGGAGGTGATGATGGCGGCGGGCATTCATCGCTTCATTTGGGGCTTCTCATCGAGGAGCTTCTGCTCGCGATGGGCTGCGTCTCAGCCGCTATCGGGGCATTGTACCAGCAGCACCGCCGGCGGGAACGTGTAAAGCGGCAGTACGAGGTACGGCATTCGTACCGCAATTGTTCGACGTACGGGGGAGGAAGTGCGGCGGTCAATGATCAGACCGCTGGCGGCTAGAGGTAACTTTTGAGCACTCGAAAACAGAAGCCATCCATCCATGCTCATCCATTAACGCTTCGGTCACCGCTCATGCCCAGATTCATGGCCAAATACTAAGTTGTTACGCATGCATCCCGATAGTATATACGGGAGTAAACTAAAACGGGAGTAAACGAAAAGAGACGATCAAGGAAAGGTCATGTCGTCCTATCGTACAACCGTCTGTCGTACCTATCATTGGTTACAAATTTCCTCCGATTAAATCCAACCTTACTAAGCGGACATGAAGCTGTCAGGAAGGTACTAACTACATTGCCCGAGGGCCGACTGTATGTAACGTTTCCATTTAGACTCCCGTTAAGATGTCGCGTTTCTCTTCACTTCTTTCTTAAGAGTCCACATCCTCCTCCAAACCCTCCCGGTCCTCAAGGAGGACGTTTTTGCAAAGCTTTCCCGTGCGTGTAACCTCCCCGCCCCGTCCCATCCCATCCCGTATCTCACCACTTTTCCTGTACGACAGGATTGTCGTACAGCTCTCGAAGGCATTCGTTGCGACCATCTGACAGCCATTCGGCAGAGCCGCAGCGGCGGCGCCGCCGGCGATGTTGCCGTACAGTCGACATGTTCTTTGTGCTTGTCACACCTCGATCCAGAGGATGGATCCACACCGCCGCCGTCGTCCTTGCACCCTCCCATAGCGCTTGCCGTGGTAAGGCGTCATGCCGTACCGGGCCTCGATGGCGATGGTACGGACAACGAGGACGCCGCCAGCGTCGACGCCAGTGAAGACCTGGAGGCGGCGGCGTGTCTGAAGCGGCCGCTGATTGGGCCACCGCCGCTGTGGCGGCCCGCGGTAATGTTCCCTTGCGAGCACGTCTTCTGCCAGCCTTGCATTGCCACGTGAGTTTTGCGCGCCGTATTCTTCCTTAGAAGACAGTACAGAAGTACGGCAAAACAAAATCGCAATATTTCGCAGGATGGCCTGCAAAAAATTGTACTTGTTGCGTTGCTGCGCATTTCCACATAACAGTCCTTCCCCCGCCTCGCCCTTCCTACCGCTCTCGCAGGGGCGCTGCCGTACCCTTGCCGTACATGACTCCTGATGCGTTTTACAATTTTCCCGCCGCTCATCCGCATATCAAGCGCTAACATGGCTTTTGCGTAATCCTAATTTGGCACCATGCACCTCAGGAGCTCCATACGGTTCGTCACCAGTGCACACCGCCCTGCAGGGACGAATTGATTTCCCCTAACATACGTCATTCACGCTCATTTCCCGTGCCTACTACCTTGACCGGCATATTCAAAACCCCGTACACATCCCGTACAACGCCCCCGCGGCCGCCCACACGCGTGCTTTCCCCCCTTATCGTGCACTGATACAGACGGTTCGATCGCCAACAGTTCATGTGTCCTGTCTGCGGTTGCAACGCCGGAGAGCTCTGCCGTACCACTGCCCCATCCACCACAACACAGCCAGCCGCCATTGCCTCAGAAAACGCTTCGGACTATGCCGCCGCCGCCGCCGCCGCCGCCGCCGCCGCCGCCGCCCAGCCCGGCAGTAGCGCCGACGATGGCGGCGGTACATTACTACTGCTTACACGACTCAGGGAGCTTTGGAAGGCACGGCGACCTGGTGGCGGCGGCGGCGGCGGCGGCGGCGTCCATGGGCTTGGAGTACGGCTGGGTCCGTCAGGCCGCGATGATCAGTTTCCGATACTGATATTTCGGCTGTTTCAGCTCCAGCGCCAGTTTCCCCAGTTCCTGAGCGCGGAAATGACCGATGTATGGGAGCGAGACCTCCGGGAAGGTACGAAGTACACCAAATATCGTGGTTTCGGAGCCGCCATGGACCTGTTGCTCAATAAATGTTGACCCTGCGCTTTCGTTGCTAACGATTTATTTCAGCACATGACAAGCTTTCAGCCTATTTTTCATTACACGTGATGTGTGAAGTTTAGTTTCGCAAAAAAAAATGATTCGCTAAAACAGACTGCAACTACCTGCCTGCCGGTGCATGGGTCCTTTCCCTGGAGAGCTTCCCCCACCACCACTTAAATGTGTGAATGTCCGTGTATTCGTACGATGCGTGTGTATACCTGTACCTATACCTGTACATGTACGTATATATGTGTGTATTCGGTCCCTGTGCCCTCCCCCCATCCCCA